CAAAGTTATAGCAAAGAGCAACAAAACAACCATGTCCAAGATGGTAGTTGCCTTCTGGCCATGACACTGAAATTTGAAACTTAGAATTAAGAATCCAGAAACCTCAGAGAAACAGTTATTTCTAGGGATGGGTTAAGGGCCCCAGATTCACAAGTGGAAAGAAAAGACAGAATGCATCTGAGGGGTCTTAGTGTTAAAGGTGCTAAAAACAGAAGCTGCAGAGATGGTCTTCTTTTAGTTCTATAAACATTCAGGCACAGTTTGGAATTTGAATCAATAAAGAATCATCAATACAAACCATAGACCCAGAAAACTGTCATCACTCCTACAATAAAAAACAATCAACAGGAACACTACATTCAGCTGGGCATGGTGGCTCACGCCTGTAATCCCAGCACTTTGGGAGGCCGAGGCGGGTGGATCACCTGAGGTCAGGAGTTCAAGACCAGCCTGGCCAACATAGTGAAACCCCATCTTTAAAAAAATAAAAATAATAAATAAATAAATAAATAAATAAGAAAAATAAAAAGGAACACTACATTCTAGTTATTGATGGTTTTCTTCTTCTACCGCTCCTCATGCTAAAAGATCCATCAGAACACAGCCCCTATCTCCTGACAGCTTTCACTGCCCTTTCATTAAGCCTTAGATGGAAATGAGCTTCCAGTATAGCAGACTGTGGACATCATCAGGGACAAGCTGTCCCTTCAGGAGCAAAGGTGGTAAGGCCTGCCTGAAGGCAGGGTCTGTGCCCCTGAGCTGGTGAAGAACCTTTGGTCCCTTTTCTGTCCTTTGCCTTACAAAGATCTATACTGACAATGTCAAGGGTCACAGCCTTGTGGCCTCTGGCCAGGAGGAGCTGAGGTAACAACCTCACAAACACTACTAAGGGAATAATGCCATGTTGCAGACAGGCGGATAAATATGGGGTCTCTACAGCTCTGATGTGTGTCTTGTGTAGAAATACAAATCACCCAGGGGCAAATCACTAATGTCAGCAGCTTTCCAAGGCAGCATTCTCTACTGAGTACGAAAGGATTCCTGCTGCCTGAGAAACTATAATGTAGACAGTAAAATTTAAATGTATGCAAGAAGCTTGCCAGCTCACATAAATAGTCCACTAATATCACCATCAAGAAGAAGGTGCCCTGTGGCAGATGGCTGCATGATGGGGGAAGGGAGTGCCTACTAAGGCACACACGTGCACGTGTCTGTGTGTGTGTGAGAGAGAGAGAGAGAGAGCACGAGAGAGCATGTGTACGTGTACACACGCTGGGTGGGGTCTGGACTGGAAACTCTCTGGCTGCCACTGTCATCTTCCATTATAAAGGGGCCCCCTGAACTGAACCCGTTGTCCTCCCCCGCAGCCACTGCCCCTAATTCGAACCGAGGCCCTCTGTGGCTATTGCAATCTACTGGATTTTGGCTGTTTGGCTGCCTGCTTTTCTTGTCAACTCCGACCTGCTCTTTATTGGGTAATGTTTGAGTTCTTTCTTCATTACTTTTTAGTTCCATGGTTATGTTTTCAATGGGAAAAACAATGCAAGAGGGATTTAAAAATAGTATTTATTGACTTTTCTGACTACAAAAATAAGGCTGAAAATTTAAAAAATATGAAAATCCTAAAAGAAGAACCCCAAGTGACAATCTTACTCAAAGATATTCTCATGTTTTTCCTTTTTGTCTTTTCTTCTCCATTCAAACAAATACTTTTATTTATTTACTTTATGCTTTGGGACAGGGTCTTACTCTAACACCCAGGCTGGAGTGCAGCTGCCTAATCACAACTCATTGCAGGCTTGACCTCCCTGGGCTCAGGTCCTCACACCTTAGGCTATTGAGTAGCTGGGACCACAGGTGTGCACCACCAAGTCTGGCTAGTTTTTCTATCTTTTGTAAAGACAGGGTTTCATCATGTTGCCCAGGCTAGTAAATGCTATTATTTTAAAAATAGTAGAGGTCATATAATATACTGCTTAGTCACCTGTTTTGTTTTGTTTTTTTTTAATTTAGTGATATACTAGGGAATATTTTTCATTTTACCGGATATTAACTAATACCATTACTGCTAATGTCTGCATATATTTGATCCTATGAATTTGGCATATTTTATTCAAACAATCTCCTACGGATTACCATCCAACTGGTTGTAGTTTGATTCAGAGTCTTTGGTGAGAAGATCCATGAACAAGAGCCAAGGTCTAATATGTACGTGGTCACTGGATGATGCCTATTCTTTGTCACAGCCCCCAGCACAGATGGAAGAAGTATACACATTATAAGAGTAAGCTCTTTACTGCAACTGCTCAGGACTCATTTTTGAAAAAGAGGCAGCTTTCTAACAAGATTTTGTAGGCAGGCAAAACAGAGGGCCTATAATTAGGTTATTAGAAAAAAGATGGCTCTGTACTGATTTACTCCTCTCCAGGAAGGAATCTGGTAGGACCCACAACTTGGGCAAACTTTCTTGAGTCAATTCTCTTCACATGACAACTGCAAAGAAGCTGGCAGGGCCAGGGCTTTCCCAACCATGGTGCGGGGCAGAGGCCATGGCACATGCTCACATCTCTCTTCTTCTCAATCAATAGGACTGAAAACATTCTTGTATACCAGGGCTGGATTTGAACATGGTACTATATTATGCTTCCATTTTATTTCTTGATCCAGTTAATCCTAAGCTTTTTATAAAACAGTTGTATCAGTCCCATCAAACAACTGAGAAAGTACTAGGATTAATTCAGTAGATTTCTGTAGATTCAATATAACTGGAGAAATATATTGGTATATATAAAAATATCTCTGTTGGAATTTTCCAATTAAATTATGAAGGATACTCCATAGGCAAGAAACAATTATTCTTCTGTGCCTGAGGCCTTGGGAGCTAAGGGGTCATCTGCAGGAGGAAGCTCAGAGATACCAGAATCCCAAGATAAAAAGGCATAAATCTTCACAGTTTGTGGAAAGAAAGAAACTTGGCTCCCTGTCACTACAGCACCTAAAGTTCAAGAGTTAAGGGCCCTGTGAGAAAGTTGAGAAATTGCTGGATGCAGGCTATGAGTGGGTCATAAAACTAATTTAGTGGGTTAAAATAATCAAATGAAATAGAAATGTTAGAGGCTATCACATGAAGGGTAATTACTGTTTCATGAACCATACGTATGGGTGTCCATGTATATGTATATAGATTTGAGTGTGTTCACATGTTTGCATGCAAGCATATGCCAAACGACAATACAAAGTATCTTACTGTGGGTCATGGTCAAAAGTTTGAAACCTGTTACTCCACGAAAAGCTAGCTATAAAAAAAAGTAGGACTATTAAAATTATACATTGATCAATCAATTCTTTATTCTATAAATAGGTATTAGAAGGTGTCGCCCAAACTTTAAATGTTCCTTTAGAGATTCTTTTCCTCATGTGAGAAATAGGAAGGCTGACAGAAAATTCCCATCTTAAATGGCTTAAAATGGAATGTCTTGGGTGAAACATATCCTCAGACCTTGTATCTCCATACTGTGACACAACTTTTAAAGTGCTTACATAAAGGCCACTCTGCCTCAGAAACAGGAAAATTAGCATTATTATTTTGGTGGGGGGGTGGGGGGACAGGGTCGCACTATCTCCAGGCTGGAGTGCAGTGGTACTATCTCGGCTCACTGCAACCTCTGCCTCTTGGGTTCAAGTGATTCTCCCACCTCAGCCTCCCGAGCAGCTGGGACTACAGGCGTGGGCCACCATGCCTGGCTGATTTTTGTACTTTTTGGTAGAGATGGGGTTTCACAATGTTGGCCAGGCTAAATTAGCATTATTTGATATATACACATGTGATAAACAACTAAACATGGGACTGGGGCTATAAAAAATAACAGCCTAGGCCAGGTGTGGTGGCTTACACATGTCACACCTGTAATCCCAACACTTTGGGAAGTGAAGGTGGGGGGATCACTTGAGATCAGGAGTTTGAGACCAGCCTGACCAACATGGAGAAACCCCATCTCTACTAAAAATACAAAAATTAGCTGGGCATGGCAGTGTGTGCCTCTAATCCCAGCTGCTCAGCCAATCGCTTGAACCCAGGAGGTGGTGGATGCAGTGAGCCAAGATCGTGCCACTGCACTCCAGCCTGGGTGGCAGAGGAAGGCTGTCTCAAAAAAAGAAAAAAAAAAAATCGGTTTCTTCAGAGTCTTTGAAAGAAAATATCTTCTTCTATGTGTGCCATGATGTAATGGACTTACAAAGTTCTGGTTTATTGAATAAACAGCCATATGAATAACATCTCCTTATCTTCTAAATATCTGCTAGTGAAGACCCCAGTCATTATTCAATGTTCCTTAAAATCTGAGTTGAAAAAATCTAAGTGTTCAGCACTGACAAGAACTTTTCTATTAAACTTGTATTCTGCTAGATCATGAATATGAATCAAATCTTGTGTTTTTTTGTAATGTGATTTCTAGGAAGCTCAATACTAAATTTTGTGCTCAACTGCATTAGGCCATTACATTTATAGTAATTATCTGCATTTCATCATTGCACTCCATTCTTTAAAGACTTCATTCAATAGTTTTGTTGTATCTGTATCTTCGAATGTAACTTTTGACCTTTTAGAAGTTAAAAGGTCCGAGTTAAAAATGATAAATGAAAATTTCAGAAAAAGACATCTATATAATTATGAATTGCCTAGTATTACTACTCAACACATTTCTGTAAGAATGGGAAGCTAACAATTTAAAAAAAATTCTCCCTAAGAAGAGCATAATTTACCAGCTTAATCTTGTGAACTGTGACTAAAAAATACACATACCCTCTAACTTATTAGTCACTGCATAAATTTCTATATGGATTTCTGATTTGAATACTTTCTAAGATGAGTCATGAAATTGCCACTGTTGTAGATTAAAAATGGCTGAATACTGGCAATCTTATGAAGTTCCACCTGCACAGAAAGAAAGGATTTATTTGCCTGGAGGATATGAATGTATTAACAAAGAGTTCAGTCTTACCTGAATGATCTCAGCATTCGATAGGACTTTCCTAAATCAGATACTCGTCTACAGAATGGACCCACAGCCAACTCCATCTGAAATATTAAAAGACATTCCATTGATTTTAATGTCAGAATCTTTAGGGGAATCTGGAACAGACCTGGATCACAGGAAGTTGTAGCTGCAGTAAACTTAATTTTATCTGGACTATGAGGCAAGCTTTGAAATGTTATTAAAAGGCAAGCACTTACATAACTTTTGCATTTATTCATCATTGAAAAATAAGAAAAAGGAAGGTTTTCAAGACTGCATGAGTATACTTTAGGCATTATAAGTCTTTTTATATTCAATATAAATGATGACAACTTTTATCAGTTAGTGTGGTTCAAGTAATTACAAGCACTAACTCTGGAGCTTTTAGTAGCACATCTATATCCGCATTCCAAATGCTGATACTAGTTACTAGTTTGTGACCCTTGATAAGTTACTTCACCTCTTCAAGTCTCAGGTCTCTCATCTATAAAATGGAGAAAATGATACCTACTTAAAAGAATCACGCAAATTAAATAGATAATTCCACAAAGCTTTATGTGCATACATATAAGTGCTGTTGTCAGGAATTATTATCAGTGTTTAAAAGTTTTTTCTCTTTTCAATTATTAATAAATTAATATGCTACCTAACTCAATAATTTAGCAAATCTTTGTTTCACTTCTCTTTATTTTCCTCCTGTGACTGGAAATTCTACTTGTCACAAGTAGGCTACCTGTTCTTTATCTACCAAGTGCATATGCAGACTTTTTGCATATGTGCTATCCAGGTGATAGACTGCTTCTCCACTCTTCCTATAAATAGCACCCTGGTAAAAAATGGTTTAGAAAATGGTTGAGAACAGGCTGCTCCCTGGTAGTATAGCACCATTCTTCAAGAAGCACATATGAAGTAAGGTTTCTGTCCTGCTGGCCACCATTACAAAAATTGCTTAATATCTCCTTGCCATGGGTACACTACAGAGACCCAATCAGTCATTCATCTGAGAAACATTCTGATTGCCTTAGTGCTAGGTACCAAGCTAACATGAGGATAAGATAATTAAATGATTAGACTGTCTTGCCTTCACAAAATTTGCAAATTTAATGAAGAAGGGGATATTTATTTATTCAAACAATATGATTATCAACAAAATCAAAGTATTTGTGTATATGTCCACATATATACATGTATGAACACATATACATACACACATAATGATTCTTATTAAGCAAAATGTTAAGTGCTATGTCAAACTTATGACCTGAGTGTCAAGACACAGTTGGAGATAGCTTCCTTGGGATGGTCTTGAGGATGAAGAGTAACCATGTTAATTTTGTTATATAAAAGAAGAAGTTTAGATCATTTATTCACTGAAAAATAATAAAAAGGAAGGTTTTCAAGACTGCATGGATTGCATACTGTATGTCCTAGAAGTAAGCCTTACATGGCTGGAAAACTATAAGATGCAGAATCATAAATAAATAAAAAGATAAAAATTTAAGGAAGAAAAAGGATTCTTGCCAACAATGCAAAACAGAACAGCTGTGAGCCACTGTTCCTAACTCAAAGATAGTAGATGATAGGCTGTTATTTGGAACATGTTTCATTTATTCACTGGGTGGGAATTTCTGGTTTCTTTCAGTATGTGTCACTTTACACTGAGCACAATGAAAAAACGTGATTATCATTGTATCTTTGATTTGTTAATTCCATTCAAATACCTAAATATATATATACATATATATATGTGTGTGTGTGTGTGTGTGTGTGTGTGTATACACACACACACATATACATATATGGTTTTTTTACATAATGAAATGTGATGTATTTTTTATGAAATGTTTTTGTCAATTTTTTCTCAATGACTCTAGTGGAATCACTGTCTTCAAAGACAATCTTTGCCTTGGCACTTGAACAGGACCAAATGTTAAAACAAATACATGGCTAGGAAAAGTTAAGATATGAGAAAATATGACCTCGAATGGCTGCAAAATGTATGATTATGTAAAAGATTTCTATGCCATAGGCCAATTTCAAAATGTTAAATGTTTAAAACAATTTTTTTTATACATAAAGGACCTCTAGGGTATTGCAAATCATTTTCTTCTTCCAGAATACCATTAAACAATAAAGGCCATGTTTTAAAGGACAGGAGTGTTCCTTTTAGAGGAGGTGACTCTGCCATTAGCAGTGGCTACAAGAATGGCATGTGCAACTGCTTCTCTCCAGCCCGTGTGGAGAGAATGAGCAGTCAGCTGCAGGCACGGTGAGCTAATTACATAGCTGCTCCATCCCTACCACCGACATTTGGTTAACCACAGGGCTTCTTTGTATACTCCTAGGGCACTCCTGCCCTGACATTGTTCAGGAGAAGAAAAGGCAATAGGAATTAGAACAAAAATTAGAATTTTGATTGTCTTCTTCTCTTTTCTAAATTAATATTTTCAGGTACAAAGTGAAATAGATATAAATGTATACTTATAGGGCACCAGAAGACCTATAACTAGAAACTGCTAGAAGTGCCACTAAATAATTTAATACCAACTTCAACAGCCACTCTTTCCTTCAGGTAAGAAAATAAACTGAGGGGTGGAGGGGGGATTATGTGTTTCAGAGGACACTGTGGGCAAGACCCCAAAGAGATTCAGAATCAGCAGAACCCCAGTGCTGTGGAAAGGCTTAGTGATTTCAGAAATATTGTGTGATCAGTGTAGACACTGAGACCATGTGGTCACAGCAGGGACTTAATTACCTGTAGGAAACCACCTCATGCCCATGACCTGGATTCCTAAGGGGGCTGAATGTCAGGCACTTCTCACCACGATCCCTCCAGATGGCACCCTACAACTACTTTCTCTTTCCTGCACTGGTGTCCGTGAGAAGAAGTTAGGATTCTTAAAGAAATCCTTAAAATATATCATTATCTGTCTTTGCAACTGCATTTTATGGCAAATAACTAGTATTCCCAAACCTGGTCTATTGGTCCCTTCTTGAGCTTTCTTTTTGTTATTTATGCTAGAATAGCAGGCCCTTTATCACAAGAACAGTTTTCAAACCCATGGATTATTTGTATATTTTTTATTTCAGTGACCTCAATGGCTTTAATTTTGAATATAAATTGATAGAACTTTCAATAATAAGGCAGTTGAAAATCCCTCTAGTCCCCAGTTGGTGCCTGTCATGAATATAAATATTAGGATTACCATTACGCTATTTAAATGTTTTGACTGACCCCAAAAAACACCTTCAACCAAGTGTGATGCTGAAAGCTGAGGTATAACACGTAAGTGCAGTTGTGGCAAGAAACCAAACCAAATGAAACAAAACTCTGAAATTCAAATTTTAATTTAAAAATTGGGTGGGGGAGATCATAACAGTGGAACAATATCTGCCAAAGATACTGATCACAGATAAGATTAATTACGATAGTGCTTCCACCTGTCTTTTCTGTGCCCGTGATCCACAGGACTGGAGCCATCCCCAAGGTGAGTGCCAGGATGTTTTGAAACTGGGACACAGTGTACAGGGGTGAACAAAAGAACCTGCTTTTCAATATCACAATGCTAGCTGCAACCAAATGTCACTGCAGGGCTTAACAATGAGTAAATGCTGTGTGTATAAATGCTTCTTCTATATTTAAAAAAACAGAGAACAGAGGCTTTTGAGCATAAGTTAGTAATAATGACTGATGGGTTTCATTTACCTTAAAGGAAGGGACCCAGAAAAGTTTGGCTTATTGGGTAACATGTCTAAAAAAAAAAATGGATGCCAAATAACATTTTGAATAATGCAGTTTTTGGGAGGTTGAAGCGCATCCCTGCCACTGGATGCTATGCATTTTGAGCAGGTGTTAGCTACAGTAGCAAGGGTTAAAGGACAATACTTTCCATCTTTCAAGACCCATAAGGGAACATATTAAAATAAAAAACAAAAACAAGCCTCTCTCCTACAGCACTCTCATTTTGGCTATCTCCTGCTCCGCTGCCACTCTAATTGGACTTGAAGTGCTGCCTCCAGGAAAGTGACTCAAGAACCAGCTGGAGCAGAATGCAAATAAGCTGGTAGGGGCGGGAGCCCAGAGAAAGAAGATGAAACAAAAAGAAAAACAAAATTAAGGAGGAAAGGGGAAGAGAACAGAGACCATCTGAGCGTAGTTTACAATTTTTTTTTTTAAAAGAATACAAGGTTTAATTTTGATTTTTAAAACCATCATCAGGTTTTCAACAAGCAATCTAAAACCCCAGTAAGGGACAAATAAGATGCTATTTACAGATAATTTTCTTTAGGCTGAGTTTAGTTGTAAAACAAAGTAAAATGTACAGGTGCCTAAGAATGAAGTTCATAAAATGTAAAAGGCAAAAAGAGTCATATTCATGGTAACATTTAATTTCTGTTTTTATGCTGTGGCTACTACAAGCATATTTTCTAAATGAAGTCTCTTTTCTATGGTCTAATGGCCTCAGGAATATTATTTGGAGAAGAAAATGACTAACTGCTGCATCAGTTTGCAATGAACCTGGCTCTTGAAAGTTTAGGTTTGTGTTACCTGTTCCTTTTTTGAAAGTGTGTTAAGTAAGAAGGGCATCTGGCAACCACTGACTTGATACAAGCAGTCTGCCCAGGTCCTTTCCTCCATGCAGAAATAATGAAGCAAGACACACTCCCGGATACACACAGAATCAATATTGACATTAACGTTTATCTTTATAAGCAGGGGGGACCTGGCAAACTGCTGTGAAGAATTTATTTCAATTACTATTTAGACTAGTAAAGCTAACAGCTTTGAAAAGCTTAAAAATGATTTTTACCAGCTGGATGCAGCAGCTCACAGCTGTAACCCTAGCACTTTGGGAGGCTGAGGTGGGTGGATCACGAGGTCAGGAGTTCGAGACCAACCTGGCCAATATGATGAAACCCTGTCTCTACTAAAAATACAAAAATTAGCTAGGCCTGGTGGTCCATGCCTGTAGTCCCAGCTACTTGGGAGACTGAGGCAGAATAATCACTTGAACCTGGGAGGTGGAAGTTGAAGACAGAACCTGGGCAACAGAGCAAGACTCTGTCTCAAAAAAAAAAAAAAAAAAAAAAAAAATTTTTTTATCCTTGGCATGCTATACAAAAAATAACAATCACCTTTGTTTCTGAATTTTTTAATAAAAGCATGTTTGAAGTTTTTCTTCACTGCCTCTGATACTACTGAAAGGCTTTTAAATATCTGTCTAAAGGATAAAGAAAAAAAAACCCTTTCTATAAGACCTAATAATGTTTTGCTATTTTAATGTCATTCTATCTCACACACATATTAGATAGGTTGAAATGATTTCTAGGCTAGCCACAGAGAAGAACTATATTCTACCTTATAGAGGGAGAACAAATAATCAGACGCTATGTCTACTGGCCTACTGTGCATTTAAATGAATGGGAGCACTGCCTAGGAATGGTGACATGGTAACAAGCAGTCTCTTTTCACTGTATGAAATATGATTTCACTGCCTACATTATTGGCCAGCAAGGTCTGACCTGTTGGAACAGTAAAATAGTGAGAAAATCCCATATTAAGGAAAAACGGGAAGTGTTGCTTTCCTATGAAATGAGCTGTTTCACCATAACCCTGACATACCAAAGAGAGGGATGATTATTTTGTTAAAAATGTATCTGGTATAAAAGTATCTTTAAACTCTTTTTTTTTTTTAACCATTTAGGCTTAAGTGGGCTTACTTTTCTTCATGCTGGCAACTCTTTAAAAGCACTGATGAAAACACAGTCTTTCATTTAATAGCAAATATTGAGGCCAAAACATTTTTTCTTTTGTAGCAATCCATCAATTTACCTGTGCAAAATCAGCAGCAAGTCGCATTTTCCCACCTTCACCAAGAGGTCTTATGAGACTGGCATGGCGGATAAAAAGTTCAATTGCTCTTTGGGCAATAGCCTCAGTGTTGTCAAAGACAAAATCCAAGCATTCAAAGTGTTTAAAATAGTCACTCATAACTCTGGCAATGAATCCTTGTAGCTCCTTCATGTACAGAGAACAAGGAACATCAGGTCTTCCTGAGCTGGGTAATGATCTGTAAAAGAAAAAGTAGCCCTTTTCAGCACCGATGCACTAAATTGTACTCTTTGAATTTGTACTTCTCTTCCTACCAATGCTGCTATTTTAATCTTTTGTAATGTTTTCCCTTAATGGTATAAAAGGCATTATTTATTTTTTATACGTGTCAACAGAAAACAATGTTTAAATTACATTTTAAAAAGTGGTTTAGATGCTAGGAGAATTACTGAAGGAATTTTAGAATTCATTTATCTAAAGATTATTAAGAAAGAAATAGACAACCATCTATCTTGGATGAGTCAAATAAGTGCCACTCTTTGGCCTCTCAAGGTCCCTCCCAGCCTCTTAACTCTCCATCCACTCATGTTTTGCCTGGTAAACGAATGTATCAATAATGAATCCCAAAACAGCATTTTACACTCTGCAATGGCAGAAAACGCTGCTTTCCCTATACAATTCTTGGCAAAGACCTCTCTGCTCTTATGCTATTTAATCTGATCCATCCAACAGAATTCTGACTGTGGAAATGGTTATGTAACAGTACACATGGTATGCAATTTTTTCCTCCAGATGATGAGGTTTGGAAAGCCTTTAATTTGGATCAACAAATGATACCAGCTGATGCTCCATGAAATACTATTTATAATTTATAACTGTTTATAATTGCTCTTTAAGGAATATATTAAAAGAATGTGAAATACTTACAGGAAAGAGATATACCAAAACTAATACCTGATATTTTCTAATAATGAGATCATTGGCTACATCATGCTGAATCTTTTTCAAAAAGCAAGTTAAGTGGTTCCATATTCTGAGAATGACGTAGAGAAATTGGTGATGGTCTACAGAAGAACAACAGATATGACTAAAATGCTCAGAGCAAAAGAATGAGTTGAACTTAATTGTCTTCAAATACAGCAGTGGTTACTATAAATAGGATGCTAACTAGAGGTCCATGGCTTCCAGAAGTATATAGAGATAGAGAAAGTAAGCCTGTGTTCCAGCAGGAAGGGATTTCATAAAGGTATAAGACTGTGCCAGCAATAGCAAGGCTTCTAAAGGGTGCATGGAGGAACGTTTTTGTTTGCAGTATCATCACATGGTGGAGTGCTGCTTGGGTACAGGGGAGCCTTAGTAAATGATGGCTATCTTCGTGTGGGGTTTGGTTTTGCCAGATTCACACACCTGCATAGCCTAGCTTTACTCTAGGTTTGCCACTACACAAGGCTAGGGTGCAAAAAACAAATAAAAGAAGGCCCCCTTCCCGAAAATGGTGCCAATCTCTTTCATATATTTTTCATTTTTATTTTTGATGAATTATAATCATATACAATTATGGGATACACAGTAATTTCATACGTATACCTATGAAATGACTGAATCAATGAAATTAGCATACTCATCACCTTAAATACTTATCATTTACTTCATCCAACTGCAACTTTGTACCCTTTGACCAACATCTCTCTATTCCCTCCACCCTCTAGCTGCTGCTGTCATTCTACTCTGTTTCTACGCGTTTGATTGTTTTAGACAACAGATATAAGTGAGGTCATGTGGTATTTGTTGTTCTGTGTCTGGCTTCCTTTACTTAGCATAATCTTCTCTAGGTTCATCTATGTTGTTGCAATTAACAGAATTCCTGTCTTTCTGAAGGCTGGATGGTATTCCATTGTGTATGTATACCATATTTTCTTTATCCATTTATCAATCTAAATGCTGGTGGCCATTTAGATTGATTCCATAACTTGGCTATTCTAAGTAATGCTGCAATGAACATGGAAGTGCATGTATCTTTCTGACATACTGATTTCAAGTTCTTAGGTTATATACCCAGAAGTGGGACTGCAGGATCATGTGGTAGCTCTATTTTCAGTTTTCCATCATGGCTAATTTGCATTCCAACGACAGTATACAAGGGTTCCCTTTTCTGTACATCATCTTTCACACTTGTTATCTTTCATCTTTTTGATAAGTCATTCTGATAGGTGTGAGGTGAAATCTGATTGTGGTTTTAATTTGCATTCCCCTGACGATTAGGGATATTGAACATTTTTTCATGTACCTGTTGGCCATTTGCATTTGTATGTCTTTTTTTAAGAAATGTCTACTCAGGTCTTTGCCTACATTTAAATCAGGTTGTTTTGTTACTGAGTTGAGTTCCTTACATACTGTGGATGTTAATCCCCATATCAGATGTATGCCTTGTAAATATTTTCCATAATCCATAGGTTGTCACTTCACCCTTGTTTTGTTTGCTGTTTAGAAGCTTTTTAGATAAATGTAATCATATTTGTGTATTTTTGTTTTGGAGTCTGAGCTCCTGGGGTCGAATCCAAAAAAATTATTCCTCAGATTTTCCCCTTTTCTTCAGTTAGTTTTAGCTTCAGGTGTAAAGTTTTTCATCTATTTTCATTTTATTTTCATATATGGTATGAGATAAGGGTCCAATTTCATTCTTCTGCATGTGGATATACAGTTTTACTAACACGTATTTATTGAAGGAACTGTCCTTATTCCATTGTGTGTTCCTGGCACCTCTGTCAAAAATCAATTGACTGTAAATGTGTGAGCTCATTTCTGGGCTCTCTGCTCTGTTTCATTGGTCAGTGTTTCTATTTATATGCCAGTGCACCATGCCACTTTAATCATCATGTAGCTCTGTAATATAGTTTCAAATTAGGTAGTGTGATGCCTCTAGCTTTATTTTTGCTCAAGATTGCCTTGGCTATTCAGAGGTTTTGGTAGTTCCATATGAATTTTAAGATTATATTTTCTATTTCTGTGAAAAATGACACTGGAATTTTGGTAGAGACTGCATTAAATCTGCAGGCTGGTTTGGGTGGTATGGACCTTTTAATGATATTCTTTGAATTCATGAACACAGAATATCTTTCCATTTATTTGTGTCTTTGTTGATTTCTTTCATTAATATTTTATAGTTTTCAGTGTATAGATCTTTTATTTCCTTGTTTAAACAAAATGTATTTTGACTCCATTTTCTTCATTTGTCCCAAGGTATTTTTTATTTCTCCTTGATCCATTGGTTGTTCAGGAGCATGTTGTTTAAGTTCCACAAATTTGTGAAATTTCCAAGATTTCTCATATTACTGATGTATAGTTTCACACCATTTTGATTAGAAAAGATACTTGATATGATTTCAGTTCACTTTCATTTGTTCGGACTTGGTTTGTGGCCTAACATATATAACATGGAAGATTTAAATATACGCATAACTGAGAAGTGAATGTTAATCTTCATGCCACTAATCTTTTGTGTGTTTAGTCTCCGCAAAGGGGCTCATCTATCACTTCAGTGATCTAGGTTCTTCCTTCACTGCCTTTCCTCCCTATTCAAAACTATAATCAGATATGAGTCAACTTTACATTGACTGAAGCAAGTTTTGTGTATACTTGAGAAGACATATGGTCACTTGCTGTTGGATGCAATATTCTGTATGTATCTGTTAGGTTCAGTTAGTTTAAAAAGTAGTTCAGGTCCAGTGTTTCCTTATTAATTTTCTGTCTAGATGATCTGCCATTGTTGAAAATGAGGTATTAAAGTTCCTTCTATTATTGAATTACAATTAATTCTCTCTTTAGATGCTTTGATACTTGCTTTACATATTTAGGTGCTCTGATGTTAGGTACATATGTATTTACATTTGTTTTATCTTCTTAATAAAGTCACTCCATTATCATTATTCAATGACCTTCTTTATCTCATTTTATAGTTCTTAAAGTCTTTCTTGTCTCATAAAAAAGTTTATCCCTGTCCTCTTTTGGATTCTCTTTGCATGGAATATCTTTTTCTATCCCTTCACTTTCAGTTTGTGTTTCCGTGAAGATGAAGTGAGTCTTGGTAGGCAGCATATAGTTGGTCCTTCATGATTTCTTATGCGTGATCAAAAGCACAGTGTTAACTCGGTGCTACTTTGGAGTACTGTCTCAAGAATTTTAATCTACTCAGTTGAAACAATATCCTTGAGGAGTAAAAAATAACATTAAAAAACAAGTTGCATAAGCATGTGTCAACATAATTAAAAGAAAGTAAGTGATGTATTAGACAAAGTTTTGATATATACATATATATTATCAAATATCATTGTGGACTGGAAGCTTGAATTTAATTTATCAGAATACAAACTTGCTTGTCTACTGCTACAGCTCAGTTTTCCCAATTAAACCAAAGCCTTTAGTGGGAGATTTTAAACTGATAAAGTGCAAGAATGAGTTATGAAGAAATTTAAGTGTCGTTATAACATAATGGTAGTGAGTATGCAGAAGCTGAAGGCAGAAGAATGAAAAATACGCAAAACTGAGAAGTGAATGTTAATCTTCATGCTGCTAATCTTTTGTGTGTGTACTTTCCCCTCCACAAAGTGGCTCATCTATTACTTCAATGATCTAAGAGTTCTTCTTTCACTGCCTTCCCTTCCCTACTCAAAACTGTAATCAGATATGAGTCACTTTACATTGAGCGCAACAATTTTAATCAATGTTCTATGTCAAGCAGACATTTACATTTTAAACTTTATCTAATTTGGAAAGAAGCACACCAGTCTTTTAAAATAAATATCAAATACCAAGAAGCCATGCTGATGATTACTCTCTACTGACTTACTTATTTATTTATTCATTCATTGAGACACGATCTTACTCTGTTGCCCAGGCTGGATGGAGTGCAGTGGTGTGATCTCAGCCCACTGCAAACTGCCTCCTGGGTTCAAGTGAATCTCCTGCCTCAGCCTCCTGTGTAGTCGGGATTACAGGTGCCTGCCACCACGTCCAGGTAATTTTTGTATTGTTAGTAGAGATGGGGTTTCACCATGTTGGCCAGGCTGGTCTTGAACTCCTGACCTCAAGTGATCCACCTGCCTTGGCCTCCTAAAGCGCTGAGATTACAGGCATGAGCCACCATGCCCAACCGATGATTACTTATTTGGCAGGAGATCCTGTAACCCTACTACATATAAGGTTCATCTTGAAGGTAAACTTGATTTATTCCTTTTACCT